TTCGTTGTGTCGCACGATATTTCTCACCGTTCGCCACCTGCAAAAGCCGTATGTGTGATATCTGGAAGTTGCGCTCCGGCTACCACCGTGCAGTCGTCTTTTTTTGGTGGTAAAGTGACTTCACGATTCTAGGCTTGCTGTGGGCGGTAAGTGGTAGTCGCTAATTCCTGGCTAGCTACGTAGTCAAAAACGAATAGACGCGCCATTCAGTTGCTCCGGCACAAATTCTGCTGGTTTTCACAAGGATATTAGTCGCCAAAATTCGTAGATGCCGATTTCCATGCGAGGAATGGTGGCAGTTAGCCTACTTTGTTGTGTCGAGTCGACCAAAACGAAAGGCATAGGTTCGCATCTATCGACTTGCTGTTCCTAAGAGACAGAGCTGTGTAACGAATGTAATGCGGTGTAGTAGCGAACGGCCACTAGTCGTTTCGAGTTTCTCCCTCCTTCGTCGATCGCGCATACTGGACATCGTTCATTTCATTCGATATACACTGAATTTTCTGTTATCGATCGTTATCTGGAGCAAATTTTTTGGTTGATCGCTTTTTATGCTCAACCCGGGACATTAATTCGACGATTAAGGAGGTTATTGACTAGTGCGCACAGAAACTTTGGCCGACGTTTTTGCGAGCGGCGATACGCTGCTTTATTCCATGGTCTTGCGTCATGTCGGTTGCTTAGCTGGGTTCTCATTGTGGTTTCATAACTGTCGCCAGCGGTTCATGTTCGTGCGCCGTTTTCTTTGTCCTCCTTCGAGGAACCGGCCACTGGCAACCATCGTGTCTCCTTGTTTTCGTCGATAGATCGCGTCCGTTAGCATTCTTAATGTAATGCTTGTGCAGCTCTGCAGACGTTCAGTTTTAAGGAGAAACAAGGGGATGTGGGAAACGAAAGAAGAATGAAAAGTAAGGACAATCAGATGCAGGGTGGAACCGCAATGAAATTATTATTCAGCCTTGGATCGATTCACGTAATTTCGAAAGTATGTTGGCAGTGCTCTCAACAT